TTAGTTTAGGGCAACAAACAAAAGGAGAAAAAAAACAAAAGGGGAAAAAGGGAGAAAAATATCTCATATTTATACAAATGAACTTAAACTGTCCGATTTTGATAAATTCGTCTGGTTCTCACGGGTTCACCAGTTTTTGACCAATTCAACGGGTTGATACCGGATTCTGTACATAAGCGATTTTTTTATTAGAATCAACCTGATTAGAAGATTGATTTACCGGGTCGCCGGGTTCACCCACTGGGCCGGGTCGGGTTTTAAAACACTACTTTCAACTACTTGAATTATTTCACATTGCACAAATGTCTGTTATTTTTTAGGGCAAATTCATTTTTACCCCTTGTGATTTGCACCAATTGCACTTTACCCCTTTGTCATTTAAAAAGTGGCACTTCACCCCCCTTATGATTTTGGAGTTATTTGAACAGACAACTCCGTTAACAGTGAGTGCGAAAAAACCACATTAGCCTCGTCTTCTAAACTGATCAACCAAACTAGCCACACCAGTTTCAACACCCCCACTTTTAAAATTCCATGACCACCAAAACTCCAAAACTCCCATCAACACCACAAATAATTTAGTGCACAATTTAATAATCCTCACAATTATTCATCATCACTGAGTGGATAATTTGGAAATTGCAGCCTCTGCCTCGCTCTGTCATAAACCTTCTCTATCTCCTTGTCTCACTATGTGATTCACAAATCAAAGAAGATTGGCCAACTATTGGTATCGACAAGCGTTGTTGAGTAGAGGTGATGTCGGATGGTAGTTGAAGGTGGCTGAATGTGGGATTGGTAAACGAAGGTGGCCAAGGACTAAGCTACTAGTGGATTACGGTGGGCTGATGCCCAGAGTAAAAAAATTAAAATTTATTAGTAGGGTATATGTATTATATATTTATATAATATATTATGTGTGCCCCTCATTTATATTAGGCCTACATTATTTGTCGAAAAAAATTAAAAAATTTAACCCATTTAAAACAAAAAAATTGGAGCACAATATTATCTACCCAAACTTATTAAAATCTATCCAAATTTATTACAAAAACTTTCAATCTAACATTAAAAAAATAAAATTTTTGGCCTAACATTAAAAACAAAATTTTTGGGCCAACATTAAAAACAAAATTTTTAGGGGTTATGTTTATGTGTTTATATTTATATTTTGTTAGTTGTATAAATGCTTAACTTAGTCCGAGATAAACAAAAATTATGATTCCGCCTATGAAAGTGGCTGATTGGTGGTAGTGGTTGGGTTCAACTGGTGGGTGGAGGTCGCTAATGGTGGTGACGGCTAAACCAAAAAGCCCTCTCTCTCACCAGCTGGTGGGTGGAGGTCACTAAGCATCATGTGGGTACACCTCCTCCTTCAACCCCTGTGTGTGTGTGTGCGCACGTGAAAACTACCTCTGTAACACCATCATTCTCACCCTTTATCTTGGATCGAAAAACCCACCATTATCAATAACCACCACCACCACCACCACCACCACCACAGGGTTGAGGTGATGATAGTAGGGTGGTTGGTTTTGCACAGAGAGAGAGTGTGTGTGTGTGTGTGTGTGTGTGTGTGTGAAGGGTTAAAGGAGAAGGTGGTGATGGGTGTTGAAGGAATGAACTAATTTTCGTGTGGTTGGTGATGAATAAGGTGAATTTTCGGTCCATATTACCTTTGAGTGATAGTAGTGCGGAGGTAGTTTGCATACGTAGATAGAGAAAGAATAAGGACATATTTAGGTGCTGATTGATTTATATCTCAAAAAACAGTATTTAAAAATAATTTTTGAGGAGAATTTTAAAAAATTATTTTTTAAAATTTTAGATTGTAAAATTTGTTTGGTTATATATTTTTTTAAAATAATTTTAAAAAATAAAAAATTATAAAATCTGTTTGGACAATAATTCACAAAACCCACAATTCCCACCTCTATATCTATATTTCTTTCCCCTCCCTGTGTCTTCACAAAACACACACACATGTGCACACACACACACACACAAACGCATACATAGATCTGTGCTTCAAATATGTGTAGATCTGAGGCTTCAATTGTTGCGCAAGAGAGAGAGAAAGATGCAGATCTGAGCACACAAACAGAGAACAGAGAAGATGCCGGAAATCTCTCTATGTGTGTGTCTTGAACCTAGATGTAGAAAAAAAAAACGTTGGAGAGGACAGAGAAGACGCCAGAGATTGTTGAAGTTCCTAAACCTAGATCGTGTTTGTGTTTCGTCTGAATTTCCCGAAGTGGAGAGAGAAACTCCAGCAACAGAGCAACGATCTTCATTGCTTCGATCTTCATAGCACAACACTCGTTGCACATAGAGAGAGAGAGAGAGGAGATGGAGAAGGGCTTTTATACTTCAACGAAAAAAGAATGCATTTTGCTGCTGCTAAGGAAGTTTGAAGTTTGATGGGTGGATCTCATTAAAGAGGCGTGAACAGTATTTTTGTGTTCCGTATTTTCAAAATTTTCAGCTAAAACTCCGAAAACATCACTGACTTGTTTTCAATTTTTTTGCTTCAAATCTCATTTTTTTTTTCAAAAATTTGAGAACAAAAATGATAACCAAATGGGTTTTAAAAATTTTTAAGGTTTTGAGAACAAAAAAACAGGTTTGAAGATTCAAACAAAAAACAACCTTGTTTTTCTTAATAGAAAGTTGACTTTCAACAAAAAAAAAATTGTAACTCAACTTTTTATTTTGGAGTGTGCATTACAATTTTCGTTAATTTGGACAAAATTTGTAATGATAGCATTATAGTTCAAAAGCATAACGGGGTGAAGTGCCCAATTATAAATGACAAGGGGATAGAGTGACGCAAACCACAAGGGTGTCAGAAGGAATTTGTCCTATTTTTTATATAGAAATTGTCAATGTGTTGGGGGTAAAATAAACAAAATCAATTTGTTGAGAGGATAAAATAAAATAACTTTTCATTAAATTTATTACAGTCATTAATAATTTGAGTGATGTGAAACAAATCACACAGTTGAACATGAAAGCATGATAATTGGAGGGCAATGTGAAAAATGGTCATAATTCAGCGGTGCAAGAGTAATTTTCCTCAGAGAGAAAAACTTTACATCTGCTTAGAAATGCAAGGCCAAATCACCATAGGGAGCTGGATGGAAATTTAGACTTGCACTAGGAAGCTCATACATTTCCATTCCCCATGACAGTTCCAACACAGAGCTTAGCAGATCCCAACCAAGTGTACAACACAGCAGAAATAAGTAGGTGAAAAGGTTAGTCTATGTCATCTTCACTCAAAATCATTTTATATTGAAAAATTAGATACACTGTGACTAAAGTCACTCAATATTAAACTATAATACTATAGATGTATTAGAGTCAATATTAAACTATGATACTATGCATGTATTGGAGTGTGTGTATACAACTGGAGTATATATACAATGTGGGTGTGTGTAGTGAGTGTGTATTGGAGTATGTGTAACTATATGTTGTGGAGTATTTGTGTTGAGTTTGTGAAATTTGGGAGGGACAGTGTGTGAAATTTGGAGGAAAAAATATATCCCCCATAAGTTCAAACACCTAGTTATCTTATTATATAGATGTAATATAATTTAAATGAAATTTAAAATATTAAAATTAAAATACATATTATTCTTTAGATGAACATGAAATGAATGGATTTCATTGAAAAAAATTGATGGAACCCACGGATTGTAATTTTTTAATTTTTATTTGAATTTTTCAGTATTGCTCTTTTTGATTTATAATTGTAAAACAAATTTTATATGAATATATGATATAAATTATGTTAAACTGTTAAACTCGAATTTTATACTATTTTAAGGGTTTAACTTAAAATATGACTTTACGTCTCATTTATTGTTAGGAATATTTGACCTGAGAGCCAAGGAGCATAAAAACAATAGTGGACCTAACACCAGTAATCACTGGTCCATTAAAATGGGGTCTTTCACGTGGGGATGATAGAAACATACGTCCAACCTAGGAAGCACTGGATACGTGACTTGAATACGATATGATATAGATATGACGAAACAACAAAATTTAAAAAAATAGGATACGGGTACGGACAGAATATGTCTATAATAAAATATATTTTATATTTTATTATTATTTAACGACTTAGAAATTATAATTTTTTAATAATTCTTTAACATTAGTAAGTAAAATTAAAAATTTGTACCATGAAAAGGTTATAATATCATCTCATTATGATCTGTTCATAAAATGAGTATGACAAATTAAAGGAATTATAATAACATTTAACTAGTTGATTTTACAAGTATTTATTTTTAAAAGTATAGTGTAAATGATTCATTTTTTTTATACCCTCTTAACATATAATAATAGATAATACTTAAAAAACACTCGTGTTTTTAAAATCAGATGAAATTTTGTTGATGTTTTATATTGTATGTGAACTCCAAAGAAGGGTTATAGCTTAAAATTGAAAATTGTACATCTTACTCCATGCTTAGAAGTATTCGCGAAGTATTCACATATTTTATTAATTATCGAATATGAATGATACGTATCCGATACATATCATCGCGTATCCGATATGATATCAAATACGGATACATCGACTTTAACAAAATATTCATACTTCATAACATACAACTGAGTGGGGGTAGCCCTTATTGGTAGAACTTTTTACTTCGAAATCGGAGTTTAACGTCTTAGAGTTTATATTAGAATTTATTGATTAATTGCTTTGTTAATTTAGATAAATTTGTTTACAATAGAAATAACACGGTCGGAAATTTTATAATCTTACCAAAATCTATCAAGGTTATCCGGGACCTTCTCCTTTGCCTTCACTATTATTTTAGTTTAGAAAAAAAAAAGTAATATTATTTGAATTTAAAAAATAAATTTAATAATTATAATCATTGACACAAAAAAAAAAAAAAAAAAAGACGAGAAAGGCATATATATCCTGCCAAGTTGTCAAAGGTGTGCGTTATCGTCCCCTCATTCAACTCCATCCATTGCGAAGAATCACTGTATCTCTCTCTCTCTCTTTCTTCCAGAAATGATAACAGGAGTCATGTGGTCTATAAACTAACCGTACTGATGTCTTGATCTTTGCGATGGAGGACAATTCTCACGATATATACCCAACAATAAAATAATGCATTGTGGGCTCATTTCAATCTTCTCTATACATGTGGAGAGGGAGAAAGTGAGAGAGAGAGAGAGGAGCATTATTGGTACTGCTTCTGATACAGCACCATCCACTAGAGTAATGGAACGAGCTGTATACAATAAGAGAGATGAAGACTCTGACATTGTCAGTTGGTTTGAGGACATAGCCGAGAACGCCGGGCAAGTTCAAACACAGACTCTACGGCGGATTCTTGAACTGAACTATGGTGTAGAGTACCTCAAGAAATGGTTGGGAGAGATAAATATTCATGACTTTGAGGAAAGAGCTTTGGAATCTTTTTATACTTCTATGGTTCCTCTTGCCTCCCATGCAGATTTGGAGCCTTATATCCAGAGAATTGCCGATGGGGACACATCTCCTGTACTCACTCAAAAACCGATGACAACTCTCTCTCTAAGGTACAGCCCTTTACTTCTTCGACTCTTTTGTTTCTGTGATGATGCCCAGAAAAACATTTTCTCAAACATGAACATAATAGAAGGATGTTTCTTTCATATTGAACTTAAAGGAGAGAATGTTTGTGCCACATATTTTGTTCGATTGAAACTTCTTTAGCGATTTCATTGTGATTTATGGCAACTTTGTGTAGTTCTGGAACGACAGAAGGACGACAGAAGTACGTACCCTTTACTCCCCACAGCTCCAAGACGACTCTTCAAATTTTCACTTTGGCAGCAGCCTATAGATCAAGGTTCAATCCTCTCTCTTTCTCTCTCTCCCCCACCCCCTCTTCCCTTTTCTCCCTCTCATTGTAAAGTTTCTTCTTGGGAGACTCCTACTCTTTCTACTATTTTAAATACTAATCTAATCATACCTTTCTTTGTCAGAATTACATATCTCGTCTCTCTTTTTGTTTTTTTTTTTCCTGTTGTTTTGTTTTGTTTTCATTTTGTACAGTTTTGAAACTTTTTTATTTGCTTGGTTGTAGACTTCTAGTCTTATAAAGTTCTATTTCTTTGGATGATGGTCCCAGAATATATCCAACAAGAGGAGGAGGAAGAATCCTAGAGTTCATATACAGCAGCAAACAATTCAAAACAAAGGGAGGCCTAACAGTAGGAACAGCCACAACCCACTATTATGCAAGTGAAGAGTTTAAAATCAAACAGGAGAAGACCAAGTCATTCACTTGCAGCCCAACTGAAGTAATCTCAAGTGGAGACTACAAACAATCCACATACTGTCACCTCCTTCTTGGCCTTTTCTTCTCTGATCAAGTAGAGTTCATAACCTCCACTTTTGCATATAGCTTAGTGGAGGCATTTAGGTCATTTGAAGAGCTTTGGCAAGAAATATGCAATGACATCAGAGAAGGCACTCTCAGTTCAAGAATTACCATCTCAAAAACACGAAAAGCTGTCTTGGAAATCATCGCCCCGAAGCCATTTCTGGCTTCGTGGATTGAAACGAGCTGTGAGGAGTTGGAAGATGAAGGCTGGTTTGGTCTAATTCCGAAGCTTTGGCCAAATGCTAAGTATGTGTACTCTATAATGACAGGATCAATGCAACCATACTTGAAAAAACTGAGGCATTATGCTAAAGAGCTGCCATTGGTGAGTGCTGACTATGGATCCACAGAGAGCTGGATTGGAGTGAATCTGGATCCTTCTTCTCCAGCAGAGAATGTTAGTTTTGCAATTATACCCACCTTTTCTTACTTTGAGTTCATACCTCTTCATAGACAAAGCCAAGATTTCAATTCAGCTACTGATGACTTCATAGAAGATGATCCAATACCTCTCTCTCAAGTTACTATTGGACAGGAGTATGAGATTGTTCTAACTACTTTCACTGGTAAGTGAACAAATTTCTAATATTCCTGTACTTCAACCAATGTTTTTTGTATATATTTTCCAGATATACCAACGAGTGATCTATTTTATTTTTGTCTTATTTATTAATTCAACCAACAAAAAGGATTGAGGCTTGTGTATATATTTATCAACAATAATAGATCCACTACGATTTTAAGTAACGTAGTCCACATAAATATAAATAAACATGATGGTTATATTTTATCTTTGTTTCATTTAATTCTTGATCGTATAAATATAGTTGAGTTCCAACTTCCATGTATATAGCTAGCAATAATAATACATGTATGTAGCCTATTATATTTCGGCGACCATATATCTTTGTGTTCCTTCTTTCTTTTCCTTTCCTAACTATGATCCATATCACACTAGAAACTTCTCAATTAATATAGCTGTTTATAATCTTAAGGGTAGTTCAGAGATGCTCTAACCCAACTAACACTACTGTGGTCAATCGCTAAATTCAAGGGAGCTGTCGACACCAGCTGAACATCAAAAAATATATATATATATATATAGGATGTCAAAATATATATATATGTTTATTGCTGTTTAATTTGATCTTAGAACGAGCCCACCTCTTATTTAAAACGGACATCAACTGTCGATGATTTCAAGAACAATGAATCTTTAACGAATCTTATTTTCCTTCATGGTGAATTGATGTATAATAGGATGTTACACTTTGTACAAACATCGACTCTGTCACACTTTCACTCAATTTTCACTTATAAGTTTATTTTTCACTCATTCACAATGAATAATTTACTATTAAATAAAATTAAAAAACACTTAGTAGAAAAGATTGGGAGCGGCCGCTACCACCATCCAGTAACTCTTTAATTTGTTGTGTTCTGCTGAAATTTTTCTCCTACAACTCATCTGGTCGCATCTTGCAGGCCTCTATAGGTACAGACTAGGAGATGTGGTGGAAGTTGCTGGTTTCCACAGAGGGACCCCAAAATTGAACTTTTTATGCAGGAGAAAGCTAATTTTGACAGTAAACATTGACAAGAACACTGAAAAAGACCTTCAGTTGGTGGTGGAAAAGGGTTCTCAAATACTCAGCAAGGCAAGAACTGAGCTGGTTGATTTCACAAGCCATGCGGATGTGTCAAAGCAGCCAGGTCACTACATAATATACTGGGAGATCAAAGGAGAGGTTGAAGATGGTGTTCTAAGGGATTGCTGCACTGAAATGGATGACTCTTTCGTCGATCATGGCTATGTTGTTTCACGAAGAACCAATTCGATTGGTCCTCTAGAACTTTGCATTGTGGAGAGTGGGACATTTAAGAAGATTTTGGATTATTTCATTGGAAATGGCGCAGCATTGAGCCAGTTCAAGACACCAAGGTGCACTAGCAACCAAGTCCTGCTGAGAACTCTCAATCTCTGCACTGTTAAGAGGTTTCACAGCACAGCATATGGGTGAAGCAAAATCAAAACAAAGGGTTGTTCTTGGTGGTTGCTTCTAAATAGCAAATCAAAACAGTTTTTGTCGGGTATTTTGAATAGAGTTGGCTATTCTCTTTGGTGATCTGTAAAAATATATTTCATAATATGTTTAAGAACTTCCCAAGTATGCCAAAAATTGAGGTAATCAAGGAAACATACAGCCTAGTAGGGTATTGATGATACCAGAATCAAGAACACATTAAGGAGCAGAACCATAGCTCAACTAGAGGATTGTCAGCCAAGAGGACAAAGGTCCTGATTAATCAACATGAGGATAGAATGGTCCAGCTTAGACAACCCGACTTAGTCACACACAGGCAAGAAAAGCTAGGAGGTTTTGATTTGAACCACAACAAGAAGGAGAACGAAGGAGAATGCCTAGCATCAATTCCCACCAGAAGATAGAGTCGTCAAATCATTACCTTCTAGAACGCCATGTCATACCTAGGGGAATGTAGCTTCTGATGGCCAGCTATTCACTCCACTATCTTAACAAAACTAGAGGGGACCACCTCATGGTGACATTAGTACCACTCTATCAACTAGTATAAGTAGGCTAACCCTAACACCGAATAGGACAAGTGAGCAATTGTTTACACACCCACGAAAAGCTATAACAATCGTCTTCTCTGAGCAATACAGACTAGTGAGAAAGAAATTTCATTAGAGTGGATTAGTCAATCTCTTCAGCTAGGTGAATAACTGAATTCATTGTGTTCTCAACCGCGATATTCACTTCACACACAAAAGAAATACCCCAATCTTCAACTAGGTTCTTGAGCTCTCAGTTCAAGCAATTCTCAATCATATACATTCCCTATTATCGGAAAGCTCTTCAGCTTTCTACCTTGCCTCATACTCTTTAGATTTTTCACACCATCAGTTTAGCACCGTCTGAGGGAACGACTAACCATCGTTTTTGCTCTTAATCCATTTTCATCTCCATTTGATTGATGGTCCTTACTAGGAGCATGAACCTAAATCTAGAGAATCCTCAGCAAAACCCCATTCCACCTTTGTCGATGGACCAATATAGACCGGAGATCAAAAAAATTATCAGCAAACCATGATTCATCTTCTAAGGGAAAATCAACGACTCATGGCCCTCATCATCGCACACCAACCAATGATTCCCCAAAATCTTTCGCCCCCTTACAGCCTCTCAACGGGATAATAAAGGATCGTTGGAGTCACCTTGGGGAGAACCTCAGGCACAAAAGAATAGAACTTGAAGATGAAGTACAAAACAAAGCTGAGGGGGCTGGGAGACGTTACCTACAACCCCCTCTCCAACATGATCCACAAAACTAGTATTGAGAATATCGAATCAAAGAGGTTCAAAATGAACTAGGGAATATGATGGATATCATGAAGTATCGAGATCCATTGTTGATGAAGGTCGTGGTACAACAAACGGAGTAGCCCTTTGGCCCAGAAATTCCCCATTTTCACTTTTCGGCAAAATTTAGAATTCCCCATGTTGAAACCTTCGACAGAACTCAAGATCCTTTTGACCATCTGAATTCATATAAAAATCAAATGGAATTACATGGTTATTAAGACCCTATCAGTTGTAGAACCTTCACCATCACTCTCAAAGAAGCTCTAGAATGGCATAATCGACTCCCCATGTCTTCGATTTCTTCCTTTAAAGTGTTGTCCCTTTAGTTCACCTCTCACTTCATTAGAGCAAAGACCCATCTTAAGCTGCCCTCATACCTTCTCAACATAAAGCAGAGGCCAGATGAATCCTTTAGGATTTATGTTCAACGATTCAACCAAGAGTCCCTCCTAATAGATGGGTTAGATGACAGGGTGGCCTTTGACCACCTTCATAATAGGGTTTGGCCTTCAATCTTTAGATTTCCTATTCTCAGTGTCCAAGGATCTCATGCTAGCATGACGGTTGTATTAGCAAGCACCAAGAAGTATATAAATGGAGAAGAAGTTCTTAGTTCGAGGCGTGGCTCTTTAGCCACGATGGAACAACACACCGGGAAAAAGCGAAATAAGGCAAGCCCTAGAAGAGACCGAGACCATTCCCAAAAGAGGAATCAGGATTGATCCTCAAAGAAAAGGGGCGATGTGAGAGATAGATTAGGACCACCCAAACTAGACCTAAAGCCAAGGTTTCTCCCGAAGCTATACACTCCTCTAAATACCTCGGTAGCAACAGGTATTACACCGGGTGCAACATGAAATATACATAGGCTCTCAAAGATAAGGAGAAACCTTGAAAAGAGAGATCGCAACAAATACTACAATTTCCATAGAAGCCACGACCATAACACAGATGAGTGCATTCAGTTGAAGAAAGAAACTAAGTTCCTCATTTTAAAAGGCCAACTTCGACATTTTGTAGCACAAGCAGGAGCAATCCCAGTCGAAAACTAGCTGGAACAACCTTAAGGAACAAAACATTAACAGGCTCTCTGTGAGATTAAAGTAATTTGTAGAGGATTCACACAAGGAGGAGAATCTAACTCAGCTACAAAGGCGTATGTGCGAAAAAGTCGTTCTCAGAACACCCTAGAAGTCAGCCCTATACAGAAATCTCCCCGTCTCAGCATGGAGATAATTTTCGCTGATGTTGCCTTTAAGGGATGCCAACAAACCCACAATGACCCTTTGGTTGTGAAGAACATCATGACTAACAAGAATATCCACTGGGTTCTTGTGGATAATGGAAGCTCGATAGATATCATTTTCTTAAATGCATTCGACCAGCTTGGCATAGGCGGAAAGAACCTTCAGCTAATCAAATCGAACCTGGTGGGTTTCTTAGGAGAAAGGTGTACCCATTAGGATCTATCTAACTCACTCTGGCTATTGGGGTTCCCCTCAAGTCAAGCCATAACCACATTGAAATTTCTTATTGTTGATACTCCTTCAGCATTCAACATGATATTGAGAAACCCATAATTAAACTCACTTAAGGCCATCCCCTCAGCCTATCACCTGGTAATGAATTTCCCTATTGAGCACGACGTGGACATGGTCAGAGGAGACCAAAAGGTAGGCAGAGAATGCTACATGACCTCTATGAAGAAGAAAGAGGTAGATTATGTTCAAATGGATAACCCGCATATGAGAGACGAAGTAAAGATGAGACCCACTTCTTTTAAAGAGCTAAAGCCATTCCTACTAGACGAAACCCTTGAGCATGTAGTATTCGTCAGCGCAAAGTTGGATACGAAGATCAGAGTTGAGCTTGTTGCATTCCTACGGCACAACTCAGATGTGTTCGCATGGAAGTAGTATGACATGCGGAGAATTAACCCCGGGTTTATTGTTCACAAGTTAAATGTGGAGACCAACACCCAAACTATTTGGACAAAGAGGAGGAGCTTCACTCTAGAAAGACAAAAAGCGATCAACGAAAAAGTGGTCAAGTTCCTCAAAGCCGAAGCCATCAGGGTGGTCGACTACTCAATATGGCTAGCAAATGGGAAGTTGTGCCTATGTATAGAATTCACCGACCTTAATCGAGCTTGCCTAAAGGATAGTTTTCCTCTGTCATGGATTGACTTATGGTTGACGTAACCTTGGGCCTTGAGTTATCGAGTTTCATGGATGCATTCTCGAGATACAACCAAATCAAGATGGACCCGCCAGATCAAGAGAAGACCTCCTTCGTAAGTGAGCAAGAGACTTACTACTATCAGATCATGCCTTTCAGATTGAAGAACACAGGGGCAGCTTTTCAAAGGCTTTTGAACAAAATGTTTGTAGAACAGATCGACACTATGATGAAGGTATATATTGATGATATGTTAGTAAAACCCGTTGCAGCTCAGCTCCATGTCCAACATCTCAAGGACGTTTTTCAAAAAATGTATGGAATGAAACTTCACCCAACCAAATGTGCCTTTAAAGTATCGACATGAAAATTTCTGAGGTTTATCGTGAATCAAAAAGGGATCGAGATGAGCCATAAAAAGATTAAAGCATTTCTCGACATGAAGTTGGTCTTCTTCCTAATGTTGCAAGGAATCATTTTGGCTACGCTCGTCCACCAAGTTTAGTTCATCACTACAGTGAACTTCTTCAGAGAAAGATCCTAATTTCCTTGTTGAATTTAAAGACCAACAAGGCCTTGCAAATTTTTTTGGATTTTTTGGGTTTGTTGAGCCATGCCTCCAATGGTTTGGTTCATCTTATCCACATTCCTTTCGAGGTTGAAAATTCATTGGGCCTCTTGACGCCTATTGAGGTGAGGAGGGTCTGGGTCCGAGATTTCAACCCCAACATTTACTTGAGTAGGCTATTTTCCGATAAGGTTGTCTTTATTGGCATTCATGACTTTGGTTGACACCATCCACAAGTATACAACAAATGGAGAAACAACTTTGGTTGTCAAACCGTTTTCCATAGACGACGTCAAACTGTTGGAGTAAAAAATGTGTCAAGCTATTTTAAAACATGCTGAGATTGAACTAAGCCTTGCTACACCTTTTTTTGAGCTTTGTGTGAGGTTTTCGATAGTTGTAGTACCTGAAAAGAAAGTCGTAGAGTGGAGGGGTGCTCTAGGGGTCGACTCTTAAGTTAGTATTTGGGAATTTAAGGTGCAACAATTTAATGAGACTTAATATGCTTATCTAGATTTTACCCTAGAAGTCTCCTTTTATAGTATTTTAATAGGTGTTCTAGGTAGAGTGGACTCTAGGCTCTCCGGGTAGTTTGAATTTTTCCTGATCTCATTTCAGTTGAGGAGTCTTGGCTTCTATGAACTTTATCCCTTGTTTAGATAACCATCTAAAGTCCTAGTTGTGCTAGGAGTTTGTTTGATCACGTGGATAAGGCTTGTCGAGGGCATGATATTATCCTTATCCTTTGGCTTCCTTATTTTCCTCATAGTATTTAAACGAATCCGCCATTTGAACGGGTATTTGGCAAATAAGGTCCTAAAAATTTGAGATAAGTTTTGTCATCTTTTTGATTTTCACCGGGTTGGGAAAAGTTGATTATCTGAGTTCATTATTCCTCCAACTTTCGTTTCTTGCTAACAGGTCAGTCAATGGTTATATTTTTAAAGATAGTACCAACTAGGACCTTGCTTGTAATTACCCATAAAAAAATTATTTTATTTTGGTGCATTGGCTACCTAAGAGTAATTATATATAAATAAGGATAAAAATAATTAAAAGAAG